TGGTGGATGATCTTTTTGATGTGTCTGTATGCAGTTTGCAAGTATCTGGAGAATTTTTATATCTATGTTCATTAAGGATATGAGTCTACAGTTTCTTTTTCAGTTATACATTTACCTGGTTTGAATATTAGAGTGATGTTGGCTTCGTAGAAGGAATTTGGGAGTTCTCCCTTTGTTTCTATCATTTTGAATAATTTAAGTAGTATTGGTTGGAGGTCTTCTTTAAATGTCTGGTAGAATTCTGTTGTAAATCCATCTGAACTCACTTATAATGTTCTGTATCTTTCTGGTGTCTGTTGTGATGTTTCCCCTTTCATCTCTGATTTGGTTGATTTGGAGGTGCTCTTTCTTTCTTTTGGTTAACTGGGCTAGTGGTCTGTCATCTTGTTTATCTTTTCAAAGAACCAGCTCTTGGTATTGTTGATTCTTTGAATTGTTTACTTTGATTCAATTTCATTAATTTCTGCCCTGATTTTTCTTATTTCTTCTTGTCTGCAGGGTTTGGGTTTTGTTTGCTGTTGCTTTTCTAGTGTGTTGGGTTGCAATGTTAAGACATTTGTGTTCTTTCTGATTTTTTTGATGTAGGCACTTAGGGCTATAAACTTCCCTCTAAGGACTGCTTTCAGCTTGTCCCAGAGTTTTTGTTGTGTTGTATTGTCCTTTTCATTTAATTCCAGGAATACTTTTATTTCTTAATTTCTTTTTTGACCCATTCATCATTCAGGAATGTTTTGTTTAATCTCTATGTGTTCATGTGGTGACTAGGGCTTCTTCCGGTGTTGATTTTAAGCTTTATTGCATTGTGCTCTGATAGAATGCATGGAATTATTTCAATCTCTTTGTACTTGTTGAGGTTTGTTTTGTGCCCCAGTATATGGTCGATGTTGGAGAGAGTTCCACTAGGGGCTGAATAGAAAATATATTCTTTTGTGTTTGGATGGAATATTCAGAAGATGTCTATTAGATCCATTTGATGTATGGTATCATTTAATTCAAATGTCTTTCTGTTTATTCTTTCTTCAGTGGACCTCTTTAATGCAGACCAGTGGGGTATTGAAGTCCCCTACTATTAATGAGTTGGGATTAATCTGGGTCTTAAAATCCTGTATTGTTTTTATGAAGTTGGGTGCACAACAGTGGTGAATATATGTTCATGGCTGTAATATCTTCTTGATTCATTGTTCCTTTGATCAGAATGAAGTGGCCCTCTTTATCTCTTCTGATTAGTTTTAGTTTAAAGTCTATTTTGTCAGATATTAGAATTGCAACACCTGCTTTTTTCTTAGTACCATTCGCTTGGTATATTTTTTTCCATCCTTTCACCTTAAGATAGTGCCTGTCCTTGAAAGTGAGATGAGTTTCTTGCAGACAACAAAAAGATGGGTTTTGTTTCTTAATCCATTCACCTAGTCTGTCTTTTGACTGGGGAGTTCAGTCCATTTTTAAAGTTATTAATGAAAGATGTGTACTGAATCCTGTCATTTTCATTTCTGTTCACATTCTTGATATAGCTGTACTTTTACACAGTTATACCTTCATTGACTTTCTTTCTGCAACCCCTTGGGTATAGTCATTCCTTTCTTCAGCTCTTTGTATTGCTTCTAGAACTCTCTGAAAGGCTAGTTTTATGGACATGAATTCCTTCAGCCTATTTATGTTATGGAAGTTTTTCTTTCCCCTTTGACTATAATAGACATTTTGGCTGGGTATAGTAATCTGGGTTGGCATCTGTGGTCATTTAAAACTGGGAATGCTTTGGTCCAGGCTCCTCTGGCTTTCATAATTTGCACTGAAAAGTCAGCTGTGATCCTAATGGGTTTTCCTTTATATGTGACTTTTTGTTTCTCTTTTGCAGCTTTCAGTATTGTCTCCTTGTTCCATACATTTGGTGTTTTTACTATGATGTGCCATGGAGAGTTTCTTTTCTGGTCCTGTCTCTTTGGTGTTCTATATGCTTCTTGTGTTTGTATGGGCATGTCTTTAATTTTGGGAAATTTTCTTCTACGATCTGGTCCATGCCATTATCCATACCATGATCTTCAGCTTGTTCTCCTTCCTGTATACCTATGATTGGTAAGATTGGCCTTTTTATGGTGTCACACAATTCCTGCATATTGAATTCTTGTATTTTCTTAAATTTTTCATAATCTTTGCTTGAGTAGTCTAATTTGTCCACTTTATCTTCCAGTCTTGATATTCTATTTTCCATTTCAT